GGGGGGGGTCCCCGGGGTTCCTCGGGGCCCAATCCCAAAGCCAGAGGGGTGGGGGGGGGGGGCGGGAAACGGACCTCCTTGCGTGCTTGGCGGTGGACCCGGAAGTGGACCAGAAGTACTACCGGTCCACTTCCAGGTTCACCGCCAAGCACATGGGCGGGGGCCCCCCCACACTCCTGTGGGATGCTCCACCGGCCCCAGCATTCACGAGCTGCACCTGGTACCTTGAGGTATGTAGAAACAACATTTAAAGCTACGTCTATGGCCAAATTGCTGATTTTCTGAATCAGCAGCAAATCTTCAGATTCAGCCGAATCGAATCAGGGACAGTGATCCGAATCAACTAATGAAATCACTGTCCCCGATTCAGGCTGAATTCGAATTGAAAGTAGTCAGTTTCGCACACCCCTAATAGTTTCCACATCTATCTATGGATACTGTATTAAGGTATTGGCCAACATACTCACCCACCAAGCAACAATTCAGTTTTTAGTGAGAACTATATGCAACAAATCTGAGCTACAGAGCTAAAAACTAGTCCACGGTCACAGAAATTCCATGGATCAACAAAACAGAGGCCAAGTAGTTTATGAAACTAGGACAACCTCAAAATAGTTGCCTTCATCAAATTGTAAGTATTTCAGTTTGTTACACGCAAGACGTATCACAGTATGTCAGCACTACAAGAAGCCAAGAACATTCAGGCATCCTAACTGATAAAAATTCTGTTCACAGATGTTGCATTAACTGTTTATTACACTGCAGTACCACAAAAGTGTTTTGTTCATTCTAATATTATAAAAACCTACGTCTGTCTGTCTGTCTGTAACACTTTATTTGCACTCTGATTGGCTGAAGTAAACAGCTCCAAGCATGATTATGAAGCTGCACCAAGGAGTGGACAGAGGGTGGGGGAGCCAAGGCCAGCAGTGCCTCACCCTGCTCACTGCAAGAGGCAGAACAGTGGCAGCATGGGGCGTTAGGTGGCGGCACTCCATCCCAGCCCCCCCCTTCATTCTTGATGGGCCATTGGCCAGTTTCTTTAATAATGATACATCATCCATTTAAATTAATGAACTAGAAAAGAATAGGTACTATTTCCCACTTAACTGAAGCCATCATGTGTATTTACTGCTTCTGACAGATTTTTAATTGGTTAAAGTGTGCAATGAAGAAAATGGGGTGTAGGTTGTAGCCATGTTGGTCTAAGGACATAGGCAGACAAGGTTCTTTGGGTGAATCTGATATCTATTCATTCCATCTAGGAAGAGCACGCACCAACTGCAGATGCTTCCTTAGCCTGATGAAGAGCTTTTAAATCCCAAAGCTTGCTAAGAAAATTTTTCCAACTATTTAAGTTCATCTAATAAAAGGTATCATGTTCACCCAAAGAACAATGAAGAAAATGAACTATTTACTTAGAAAAGCAGTCCTGTCAACACTCCATCTGAAAGCTACAACACATAGTTCCTGTTAAACCTGATTTACCAAAAATAGTCTTCTAACAAGAGTTCTTGATTCAGTTTCTCAGCTAAGCGCCCCTCTGTCCTTTACTTCCACATATTTTCATACTGTATTTAAAAATAACGTTAATTAGAAAACTCCCAATTTCCACAAAAAACAAACCACATTTAAGAATGAATCATTTCAGTTCACCGATTACCATTTAGCTGGTTTCCATTTTAGCTTTCAATTATTATTGTCTGTATCCAACAACTAGACTCAAACAATATTCAGGCATTAACAGTAAGTCTAAAACTAGCCATTTAAACCAAAAGGTTTGGTTTTGTTTTTCAACACTGCATGTTCAAATTTAAAAAACATGAACAATAAGCTTGAAACATGCTATAGGAAATAAGCTTTGTGGTTTATGCCGCCTCTTCTTGTTTGTTTAACATCCCCAGGAAAGTCTCAAATAAAAATACACTGAAAAACCTCCAACAGAAACATGGAAGGACTACATCAATATCCATAAGTGACTCCCTATTCAGAGAACACATCCACCATATATTTTTAATGTTTTTGCATTAATAAAACATAATATGCTTATTGTGCGTTTCTGAAAAGACTCTATCCATATTTTTTTCTGTTACTTGCTTTTCTGCATACACTTGTAGGATTCTGTGAAGGGATTCTTACACAGCAGAGAAGGAGTTACTTAGCATGGTAGGGAATTTAGAACTCAGTGGCAATTAGCCATCCAGATAACCTATCACAGGTCAGGCTCCAGCTCTGGAGAATTAAAAGGAAGGCCTGAGCAATTACAAAGGCCCTTGATCTGAGAACTCCATCTTGGAAACTTTGAAAAATGGAAGGGAAGAGAAAGTAAAGAGATGTAGTGGACTGCAGTCAGTAACCCCAACAGTAAAAGACAAAGCAAGGTAAGCCAAGCCCCTGGAAAAGACTCTTGTAATAAGACCAAGAGATGAGAAGTAGGAAATAACCCAAGGACGGCTGAAAGCAAAGCTCAAGGCCCTGAAATGGGAATCAGCAAAGGAGAGCCTGAGCCAAACCTCTGAATTTTCTACAAAGCACTGATCTCTAGGATAGGGGCCTGCAATTCTTTTGGCTGGAAGGCCACTTCACAAGTTTTGGTGAGCTGTTGAGGGCTGCATAAATAGTCCCACCCCTTGACAGCTGCCCTGTCCCCTGGCTGCCATCTTGTGACCAGAAATCCCACCCCTAACCCCTGACCTTTGCCACCAGAAGTCCCTCCCCTTGTCTACCGTCCCCCCCTCCCCCCACCAAGAAATGCTCCTTTTGGGAGGAGGGGTTGCCAGCTCAGAACCAGAAAAAAACTAAATCATATGCTAAAAGTCAAACACCTACTATAACATATTTTAATTACTACAAAAAATATTTGTCATGATTTGTATTTGCATAGTGTACATAGAGGTGATTGCATATTAACTCAAAAATAAATTCTTAGTCTCGTACATTGGGGGGTAAGTGGTAGGGTGTGGCAGTGTGTGGGGGTGGTTTGTGAGGGGTTGACGCTGTGTGCAAGGGGGGCATAGGGTATTTTGGGGGGTTGTGTATATGTGGGAGGTTTGGGGGGCAAGGTGTGGGTTTGTGGACCCCTCCTCCCACACTCCTGCCATGGTGCAACAGCAGGTGGGGGTGCTCAGGGCACTCGTGCCCATAGGGACATGCTCCGACCAGAGCTACACATCGCAGCAAGGGGCACAGCCTCTGCCAGGCAGTCTGTATTGCCTTCGCCCCCTGCACACACACGCAGCCCCTGCACTCGCTAGGCATGGGAAGGAAGCCACAGGTACTGCGGAGGGCTGCCTTTTCCACCCTATAGGGGAAGGCACCTGGGGTTTCCCTCCTATGCTATGCAACCCATGCTCCTGCCCAGCTGCAGCCGCACCCCTGCCACTTCCCTACCTGCTGCTAGGAACCAGTGTGAGACCTGGGAGGTAGAGCAGGTCCCCAGGGGCTGCAGGCACCAGCAGCAGCCCCACGCAGAAGCTATGTGCTGGCTGGGCCGGGCCCTTCTGCCCACAAGGGTGGGAAGGAGGTGCAAGAGGGTATGTTTGGGGCTGTGTACACACATGGGCACCTGGCTCCCACTCTTGTGGGTTGAAGGGCTGGGCAGGGTACAATCTCTTGGTGGGCCCTGCGGGCTGGATTAAAGTGCTTGGTGGGCCGGATGTGGCCTGCAGGCCATATGTTGCCCGGCCCTGCTCTAGGACAATATTACACATAGGTACACATAGGTTATAGGTCTCTTAACACTTTGACAGACATAGTTTTCCCAAGAACACTTTGGCTGTTCCTTGAACTATTTCTTATTCAATTATGAAAAGCACTGGGGAACTCTCTTGTTATGTTGTGTCTTCCTCCCCAAAAAGCTACCATTACATTAACATACAATTAAAAAAAATAAAAGGAAGTTTAAAGTTTGCTATTTATTTTTAAATCCCCTTTATGAACTTCAGTGTCATAATTTTTTACAGATACTTTTCATGCAATCCCTCCCAAGAGAATCTCTCCTCTACTGTTCAACTATATTTCCTTTCTTGACTGTGCCCCAATGTTAATTAAGTGTAGCTTTTTGTGGATGCTGAAGCTAGCTGCTTCAAGAAGTGACTATCATCTCTGAAGTATGGCCAAGGTGATATTTATTT